CGGGACCTTGGTCCGTTCCCTTTCCCACCCGGGGACGCATTCCTGCTGCACCAGTGCCCTTCTGTCTTCCAGGCTAGCGCGCCGCTCCAGGGAGGCCGAGCCTCGCTCGGTTGGCGTTTCACCGGCGCCAGGAGCAGTTTCCCATTGTTAAGTCATGTGTTTCCAGAGGCTGATAAATTTTCATCAAACGACTGAAGCCTGATGGCTGTGCAGTGGTGGAGTCACTGGGGCTTCTGGTGACTCTCCCTTAAGAATATCCTTAAGGAAGGGTTGCTGGATAGGAAGCAGTGTTGATTCACTGCTAATACTTGTTCAGTATCTTCCTTCCTCCTAACCAAAAGCTTATTATTTCTGACTGAAAAATTCCTAAGTTGACTTGTGTTACCAGGTTCCTGTGACCTCGTATAAATTTTGTCCTAAAATACCTGTGAACGAGTTCTATCTGCTTTTGGGTGGCTAGGCCTGCCTGAGGATTGCTTGAGTAAGTTGTGATGCTGAAGGCATGAAGGGATTGGTTTGTTTCTGTAAACTTCATGGCAGTTTTGAAGCTTTTGTTAGAGACAGAGAATAGGGCCGTTTCATCTCTACATTTTTTTTAGCCGCTACATACAATTGTGGAAAGAGAAACAGCATGGGATGACTGTTTCTGGATCCTGTTCATCTATCACTGTTGACAATTCAGGCAAGGATAATGCTTTTTTTTGGAGGGGCAGAGAAAAATCTTCAGACTAGTAGGCTTTTCTAGAAAGTAAAAGAGGTGCTTTGTCCTATGTGGGTCGTATCTCCAAGGAATACAACCAGTAGCTTTTTTTTTTTTCTTATTCTGTGTTCTACTTGAAAGTATTTAGGTAAAACTCAGTAATTTCTAGCATTGCCCTTGGGCTTGTGAAGGGACTAGGTTGGCAGTGGTGGTCCTTTCTTTCATGCTTCTACAGTATAGATAAATTATTTTTCCCCCACATGCAGAAAACACTGTGAATGAATCTTATTAGGTTTTGCCTTTGAGATAGTTAGAAGAACCATTTCTACAGAACTCTTTGAACCCTCAACTCCCATCCTATTTTGAGAGTTCAGGTGCAGGGTTTGTAGCTGTGGATTCTCCTGTCTTGCTGCATTTTCTGTGGTTTGATAGTTCAGGAGCAGTTGTGGAGTCGTATCTTTCCCCTTTACCCTTTTCTTTCATGCCACAACAGGGCTACACTATTCTCTTCTGTCGAGTTATTAGCCTTTATGATGATCATCATCTGTTCATGACAGAAGAGAACTCACTGCCCTCCAATAGATGTGTATAATGCCTAAGGAGTACATTTCTTTCTTAAAAGAAACAATGCCATTTGGACAGTCTTATTAAAGTTGGCTGCTGTTGAATTGGATTTTCAAGTTTAATGTTAGAAATCCTGTGCAAGGAATGATATCCCCTTTTAGAGCTGGTGATGTTAGTTTGCTAGCTGTTGGGAATAACAGTCTATTCTTACTGGACAGTGAACTGTTAACGCTTTGCAGGAGTGATGCAGAGTGTCATTCCAGACACACACCTCTGCACAGAAACTATTTTTACTTGCTTTCTTAAAGTTTATCTTTGTGTTTAATGATGGGCTATGAGTATAAGTCCTTTAGATTCTGCTTTCACTGAGAGGTGTACTAGTATAGCTGGTAATTTTAGCCATACCATTAGTGTGCCTGAATCTTGCTTTAGAGAGGGTACCATGAATGATAAAAGTAGCCTGTAGAGGCCTTCAGAAGTGGACCAACTTGAAGGACCCTCATTTGCAGTGTGGGCTCCTAACACACTTCAAAATGAATTAAATAGCTTCATCATATGGTATAGTAAGTGCTGATTAAAAAGCACCTGCTTTGCAGTTGTCAACATGGTCACTGGTTCATGGTGTACAGGCTCTGTAATTCCTTATCAGTCCCTGGAGGAATGATAGTGCTTAATTTCTTAAATTCTGAGGCAAAAATGCCCCTTAAACATTCCCATTGCCTGTACAGTCGAGTACAACACATCTGCCAAATTATACTGGACTTTAGAGATGGGGTTAGTGTTTTTAGTGCCCTAATGTAGCGGTATAACTCAGTCTGTGAAAACAAAGAAGCTAATTCAGCACAAAATAGCTTTAAAAAAACCCCTCGAAATATTTTTTTAAAATGGGGGATTTTTCTGATGAAGCTACCCGTGAGGGTGAGCTGGCCAGTCTACCTTACGGAAACATACATCAAAGTTAAAGCTAAGGTCGTACTTGCAAATAAAATAAATAACATTCAATGTCACATGAAATTTCATCCGGAAGCCGAAGTCTCTCTGTTTTACATCCTAGCCCTGTTAACTTGTGTATCCAGCAGGGATGTGCTTTTTCTGACGGAAAATGGGTGACGGCACACAAAGACTTCTACTTTCCGTCCCTTCGGTTTCCTTTGCCCCTCTCGTTCTCCTGCCCGACACCTTCCTGCCGCGCTTCTCCCCCGCAGGGCCGCGGGCGGGGGCCGGGCGGGGCTCTGCCCGCGGGGCCGCCCCGCGTCCCGTCCCGTCCCTCCGCCCCGCCGGCACCGCTGCCGCCGGAGCTGTCCCTTCAGCACCTGCACGACGGCTCTCTCGCCGCCCCGTTCGTGCCCTCTCAGTGCGTGAAATGCCCGAGAAGAACACAGACTGGGAACAGCACCGGAATGCTGTGTGTCCGGAGGCTGCGGGGCGGGCGGTCGCCCGGTGCTGTGGCTTACGTGTTTGTTCATTCAGTCTTTTAACTGAGCTTGTCCCTAGGAGCTGGCTAACTGAGGATTATAACAGTGCTGAAATTCTACTGACTGAAGAGATGGGACTCAACATCTGATTTCTTTAGCTCTTTTATTAGTGAAAAATACAAGAGCAGCTCCTTTTGTAGTCTCAGTGACATTCTCAGTCTCATATGTGGAGTAATTGTCATTACAGCCTTGTTCTAAAATTTCAGTGTTTCAGGTCAGAATGTACTTTTTCATATTTTCTGGTAATCTCTATCTCATGAGCACCAAGGCTGGCAGGAGTGAAATCTTCTTTGTTTTGCAAATCCTTGAAGGTCAGTGTTACCCAAGATATGTACTCAGAGTAGCAGAAAAAGAAATTATTTTTGTGTTCTGGACTGGAAGGGACCTTTTCTCCTTTTGGAAAACTTTTCTGGCCAGTTCTCTATCTTGTTTCCCATTAATCTTTTGTTCATGGAACACTAGGAAAAGGATCACAGGTATCCTTATTAAACTAGTTTATAGATTTGACTGACTTACAATAGTAAGTTAGACTTTGAAAAATCATATTCAGGGAAGACAGAGCTCAGGCAAAAATAGAAAAAAAGCCTACAACTGTGGATAGAAGAGTTTGTACTAATTCCATGCAGTTTTGTGACAAAGTCTTGTATTCTTAGGAAAGACATTTGATTGGAATAAGGAAAATAGTTTACTTTAATGTGATCTAACTTGCTCCCTTACAGGCTTAATTTTCTTTCAACTAAACAAAACAGGGGAACCATGTCAGATTTGGCATTTCAAAGGCAGGAAAGTATTAAAAGTCTTGATGACTTTCTGCTTAAATCTTGCATTATGGTATTCTTCCTTTAAAACTTTTTAACATTTCATTGACTGTAATTGGTAATCAGCCAAATATCAGACAGAATAGGATCAATGGTATCTCTCCAATGGCCTACCACTGCTGTAAATTCAGCTGTGTCAGCATGTTTTCATTGGTCAGTATGTGGGGTTTTCATTCTACATTTATCAGTATTGGATGGGTTCTTTTGGCCACCCATGAGTATAAGCTGTGTTTAGTGTGCATTTGCACAGGATACATTTTCTCCCTGCTTTTGCTCCAGATGCAATTTACATGTTGAATTAAGACATCTGCATCTGTAGATTTTTCCTATACAATGCCAAGTATCCACCAGTAACTCTGTCAGCCTGTAAAGTGTAGCTGTGAGTGCATGGGACTGGGAAGTTTCTGTAATAAGAAGCAGTGTGCAGTAATCAGAAAATGTTTTTCTTATTGCTAGCACTGCATACTCAGCGTGTGGTCTGATCCATCTGTCTGTCACACTGTTGTCGGAAGCGTCAGAACTGGTTAACAGATCTCTTGTGGGGAATGAATCTGCAGAGCCTATAGAGATGTGGAAGAACAAGCTTGATTTGGGAAGGACTAAATGATTGTTGTGGCAATTCAAATAAAGAACAAATGCAGAAGCAGATGCATTTTGTGTTGAGTTTTAGATATCTCACATTAAGCACTGTATTGTGAACACAGCAAAGATTAGTTTGTGTGTTTTTCTTTTGTGAAATCTTGTACTGTCAAGGCGAGTTTATCTGTAAGTGGTGGGAAGGGGCATCAGTGTTATAAGAGTTTAAGTGTAGTAAGAGGACATAAAACCTTCATACAGGTTTTGTGATACTGCAAGATCTATTTTATCACACTATTTGGCACTAAGAGATTGTTGGAAGGGACTACTGCTTTTGTTTGTATTGTTTTGGCATGAAAATTGGCCCTTCCTCCAAGGGTAAGGGTGAGGTTGGGCAACATGGACCTTCAGTTGATGTACAAGCTGCACAGTTGCTAAATGTTTACATCTTTTTTTTCCTCTTTCCCTAGTCCTGGAGATCGACTTCTCAGAGCTTGTTCTGGAGGAAATCATTGGCATAGGGGGCTTCGGAAAAGTGTATCGAGCTGTGTGGATAGGAGATGAGGTTGCTGTCAAGGCAGCTCGCTATGACCCTGATGAGGACATCAACCAGACCATTGAGAATGTCCGCCAAGAGGCCAAGCTCTTTGCGATGTTAAAACATCCCAACATCATTGCCCTCAGGGGCGTGTGTTTAAAGGAACCTAATCTTTGCTTGATCATGGAGTTTGCCCGTGGAGGATCGCTAAATAGAGTGTTGTCTGGGAAAAGGATACCTCCTGACATACTAGTGAACTGGGCAGTACAGATTGCCAGGGGAATGAACTACCTGCACGAGGAAGCGATTGTTCCCATAATTCACCGTGACCTGAAGTCCAGCAACAGTAAGTGTTACACAGTGAACAGTCAGGGTGCTGGGGTATGCTTTTGAGAAGAAATCATATAAAGAAAAAAGGGGAGTAATGTTAACTTAGTGATCCTTTCTTGTGAACCACTGTATCCTCTAATTTAATCCCAGAGGGGTTTATTTTTATACAGTATGGTGCTACAGACCGCAGGAAACCTGTAAATGCTTTCATTCTGTAGAAGCAACTTATCTGATTGGATACAAAAGCAATTGTAAATGAAGCGTGCTTCTCTAGTAGTTAATATACATACATAAATAGTGTCTGTTTTATTGGCATTTCAGCAGACTTCTGTATGTTGGAAAGTCTTACTGAACTTAATATGTATATTCTCCTTCCACTTTTTGGAAGGGTAAATACTCCTTTGTTAAGATAAATGCTCCCAAACTTTCGTTTACTTGCTAGATTTTGCTGTATAGGTGGGATGCAAGCCTGTTTTCATTATGGGAGATTTAACCCATCCCAGCTGAATTGGATCTTCTCTTTATCCATCATAGAGCTGGTGTTGACAGAAACATTAACTTGGGTAAATAAAGTGTCCTTCTACATCCAGGATCAGCTGATGTTTGTGATGCTTTACATGGGATGCAGCTGACCCATTATAGAACATGGGGATTGAACTTTGGCAGTTAGGATTGTGGAAATCGCGGTGATTTTAGCTACTCTGTAATACCAACAGCATTACTATTTGCCAGTTGGGTATTGCTCTGATAGTGTGTCTCTTTTCACAAACTTAAAATTGCCTTGAATTCAAACACACACATAGAACATTATGAGTGTGGGAGCAAATTATTGCAGTACTTTAAAGGTCATAATTTCCTTTCCTGATGCCTTATGCATCTGATTAGCCTTTTTCTCTGCTTGGCTATGTTTAGATGGCAAGAGCAAACACATAGTTGCATGTTAGCTGTGGTGGTTTAGGTTGGTGTGTTAGTATGAACTCCTTTTCGTTTATGACTTGAGTTAAAAAGGAGCACTGTGAACTGGGTGGCTGGGATGCAGGCATATGTTTCCTTTTGCTTTGAGGGCAGTGACATTAGCAAAGAGATCTGACAGATGGGAATTTTAATATCTTAAATAGATTCAAATGAGCTAGCATTAACTATTTAAATGCTGTAAATTTCCAGGCTTTGCAGAATCTTCCTATGTTTTTTTTGCCTCAAATGTTGTGGCAATGAATTCATATGGTTTGTTGTGAAGGTGTAAAAAAAGTATTATTAGTTCTTGTTAGTGAGTTTGCAGATAGGAACTATGAGAGCTTTCAAATTAGTTTCTACAATATTATTCTTATACTATTAAAGTTTCTCTTTGTTAGAGTAAGGCAATCTTAATGTCTATAAAGATGCCCTAATATTTAAACCCTCCTCTTATAGATGGCAGTATATATGGGCATGTTGATAAATGCTGTAAAATTAAGGAATGATTTTCTTAGTTAGTGGATTATTGGCTGCAGCTGTGAATAAGAAATAATTGTCTTTAAGTGTCGTGCCTTTCCTCTTTACCAAAGAAAATATTTACTTGCTTATTTTGCTCACAGGCCATTAAGACTTTATTGCTTAGTGCTAGCTGAACATTTTTGAGGTTTAGAATGAAAGTTATTTCTAAGATGAAAAACTGCTAGCTGACGGTATTTCACTGTTTTATTTGGACCAGAGACTGCTACCTGTTAAAGGTAAACATATCAACAAGAGAACCAGCCCAACTAGAGGGACACCGGTGCACAATGTTGCCAACCAAACAGATATGGATGCTAGAAAACATCTCTGCTGTCAGCAGCAAGAGTAAATGTCTCTTGTCACAGTGAATCAGCAGAGCATAATTGTGCTGCACTGTAAATTGTCAGTGAGAAGTTGAGGGGTTTGCTACATGTATTACTATAATTTCCCTCATTTGGGAGGAAGCAATAGTAAAGAAAGAGGAAGAGTGAGTGGGATTGCCTATGGGAGGATTCAGAGATGTCCTATGTTTGTAGGGGAAAGGTGGTCTTGATCAAAGATAGCACCAAATCTAGTACAGAAATAATGGGTATATGGAAAATTCTATCCCAGCTAAGTCTGGAGCAAGCAGCATTACATTTGGGAAGGTAAACAAATATAGGAGCTGATACTGGAGGGAAGGACTTAATCAATTTTCCTTAAAATGTCTCGTTTTGTTTCTCTCTTTTGAAATAAGATGAATTAGTAACCTTGGGTATGGGCTTGAGACATTACAACAGCTGTTTAGTTTATTTTATTAAACAATATGGAGTTCCTCATTCTGGGCTGTGTGGTGGAAGGGATGTTTTAAAAAATATATGTTCTTTTTAGAGTGAATCTATATAGCAAGTATCATAAATATTAGATTATAACAATGGTGGAGCTTTTTTACGGGGATAGGGGACTGTAGGCCCAAGTCATGTCTTTCTTGATTATTCTGTCATTGCATTGCTGAAATCCCTTTTCCATTATATGTAATAAGCATCTTGGGAATTTCTCTGTTCTGTGTTCTGTGGAAAGCTTTTTATTAGTTTCGTAAAGATTACTGGACTAAGTATGTTATTGCATCCTGACTTATATATAGCTTGCATTTTCTCTTATTTTTCTGATGTACTTAGTTTTCTCAATTACTGTGGGTAATCAAGAACAGGTTTTCTCCTTAGCTTTGTGCCTGCAGAATTACACGGATGTAGCATTTCCTTTGTGGAAATTACCACCCACCTACTGATAGGCAGTAATGTCTCTCTGGTGAGGGAACAGCTTCTGCTTGCAAGAACTTGGAAATGATTCTTGCAGACACATTTCTTACAATGTACTAAACATCTATAAGAACTGTAGAGCTTTTGTGGGAGCATCAACTGTATTGATCTACTGGTTGGTACTGCCTATGTTGAATAATAGTGATTCTCATACACTCATCTTGCACCAGCTGGGACGTACACTATGCACCTGAAGCTGCAGGATGAGTTAGTTTGGGAGTTAGGGAACAACATGGAGGAGTGCAAAAGAATAGAGTTGCCTTATTCAAAATCAAGTTTTCTCCTGGAATAGAAGAAAATCAGAGAATGCCTTGTTTTCAGATGTCTGCCTATATTTCAGCAGATAGAGAATGCATCAGGACAGTGCTTCATGATGAATCTTTTAAGGTCACATTACATTTTGAGCAGTAATGTGTCAAGTGGGCACATTAATACAAGTCTGAGAAATTACCCAATTATATAAGGATCTGAAAAAAAAAATGCTATTTAATTTAAACTATTGCAGCTTTGTGGACTCAGATAGTACATACCAAAATAATAGTTGTCAGTGTTTCTGGTGGTGCAAATAAAGAATGTAGGATTTTGATTACTCTGGGAGGTAACTTCATCTTATGCGGGGACTGAACTTAAGGGGATTATTTGACGATTCCAGAAGGTGTTTATTTCTTGAGATTCTCCTTGTCAAAAAGCATGCCGACCCAAGTTGTCCACCTTTTTTGGTTAAAAGAAGGAAATTTTTTCTTAATTTTTTTTCTTCTTTTCATTTTCATAACTTTACATTTAATGCTAATACATCTAGAGTGTAGGAAAGGTGCCCTGTAAGTTTACTACCGTGTTGTTTGAGGCAGATTTATTGTAAATCTTGGAGGTTCTGAGGGCTGCCTGTTTCACTGCTTTGGGGATGTTAGCAGGAAATGAGTGCATAATGGTCTTTACAGAATAAATTGCACACCTGTGATTTATTTTTAGAGTCCCTGAAATTATTTTGTTGAGTGTCAGTTCAGTTGGCAGTGAGTCTGGTAGGCAAGTGTTCCAGTGGCATTACCAGCAGTCATATAAACTACACAAGAGAAGGAAGATAATTTAGGAAAGCTGTTTGGTTCTGCTGTGTGAGGAGATAAGTATTTCTCTTATTTTGGCATTTGATATAAGGGATTCAATTTATTCTATATGAAATTTAATCTTATTAATCTGACAGAGTCCTCACTGGCTGCTTCTCCTTTCTTCATCTGGTTATATTGCCAACCTCTCCTTCTTTAGCTGCATGTTGGTGAGCCATTGAGTGTATGTTACAGAATTGGTAGTAGGTTTTTCCAGTGTGAAGGCACCTAAATAATCTAAATGCTGAGCTATAGAAAAAAGCAACTGAAAATGCCCAGTGAAGTCAACATCACTGTGTTTAGCACAGCACTAAAGAGTTTCCCTTCCTTTTATCTCTTACCTGTGATTCAAGTCTCATTTCTGGCCAGAGGAAGGTACTTGGCATATAATGCTTAGGATGAAAAAGGACAGTCCTGTTGGTTTTAGTGAAGTATTGTAAATAACGAAGCTAGTTCTGTTTGTTTCTGTTTGTCTGTCAAAGTTAGATATGCCAGTGTTGCTATAGGACTAATGCCAGTTAACTAATACTGCAGAGCACTAGCAAAAGCGTATTTGCTCCTTTTTTTTGACTGTCTCAGCAAAACATGTTTGTTATTTACACTACATTGAAACATTTTGCTGAGGATGTCCATGCCAGTTAGCAAAGTGCTTTTTAAAAGTCACTATGGTTGTGTTCCACAAAGTGGCACAGAAGATAAGCAGCAAAGTGGCATGGCCAAGGTCAAACAAAGAAAGAGGTAAGGACAGAGCTCAAAATAAACCCCAACAATTCTGGATCAGCCAAGTCAGTAGTTCTTCCCTTCTAGTTCTTTGAAGTCTTCACCACTCCTACTTCTAGACCACCAAGGTAAGCTTGTGATATCCTGCTCTTCCAAGCTCTAGCTTTCTAAAGAATTCCAAACCCTCCTATAGCTTTGCGTATTTAATGTAGTTAAGCTTTTTTCTGTTCATAAAGATGCCAGTAGAGCTGACTTTCACATGGATAGTTGTTCCTAGAACTTAAAATATTCCTTGGAGTTTTTTTGGTTTGTGGGTTTTTTTTCAAAGTATAGACAGATTTTAGACACAACTAGTTCAAATCCAGCTCAAGGACAGCAGGACGTCAGTGTTACATGTTGGTAACATTGGATTTGTGAACACTTGT